TATTTACTTCACAACAAGCATGGTTCATAGTAGATAATACTCGCACGTGGCTGGCGGAGGGGGCGGAGGAGGAAGGCGAGGGAGCGGGTGATGAAGAGGACGAGGATGGTCTGAAGAATGAGCAAAGGGAAAGCAGAGTTGAGAGGGTTGTCGCCTTGCCAAGCTCCATCGGTCGATGTTTTTATTTTTGTTATGTTCAACGACATGCTAGTAGCTAGCTCGATCGCTATACGATAGGGAGAGAACTGTTCTCTGTTTCAACTCCCCGCTTTCTTTGTGGAGAGAGCCTGCAGCAATTAGCTAGCAATTTGAAGAAATATTGATTACTTAGTAATAAAACAAAAAAAAAAGGTTTATAAATGAAAAATAGAGAACTCTTGCAATTCTCTCATGTAGATCGTAACTAACTTCGTCAGTCCCACAAGGTGAGGGAGATGCGTTCCATTCCACAGTCGATGAGAATGATTGATAAAAAAAAAGAAGGAACAAGGAGATTATTTATTTTCTGGGGCTGGGTTTACGAGAAACTACAACACCACACAAGAAGATATCTAAGGTTAGATTTCTCATCGGAGTAAAAACGGGAAAGAGTGAAAACGAAAAATATTTGAATTGATGGAGTCAAAAGAAATATTCTTATCGGTGAATACATGGTCTTTCACTCCGCGCAAAATAAAATTTCATTTGTCATGGGAAGTTCACAATCAAGCATCACGGGATAATACTTCATTGTTAATTAAAATTGTCTGGCACAATTAAGCACATGAATTATTTCCGGTGATAGTAGGTAAACATTTAGTCAGGAAAAAAAATCACGTGATTAAAATTTCATGATAAAAATGAATTTTTTTTGTAGTGGGCATAAATAATACTCATATTCCGTTTTATGCTACTAAAGGTCGGATACTACACGCCCAACGCGTGCCGAATCGAATAATATTCACCAGGGCTAAATTCCGCCGTCAATGAATATTGCTCCTTTAATTAGAAGTGTCAAACCTGTAGTACTTAGGCTTGCAGTGACTAGGGATGGCAATTTCGATCTGATCTGATTTACCCGACCTGTTTTACCTGTTTTGGGCGGGAATGGGTACCTCTCATCGACCGGACCTGCCATGACCCGCCCCATTCTCGACCCGTTCTGGCCTAAGTTACATGTAATCCTAGTCAAATTACTTAGGATTTTCCTCTTACTACATCATATTTTAGGTATAATAAAGTTGTAAGTAAGTTAAAAACTCAATTTCTCCAATAATTTAACTACATTTTATCAAATTATGGTTTCTTTCTTGGTCTTTTAATTAAAATAATGAATAATTCTAATGTTTTTCGCATAAGTTATATACCCAATGGGTCGACATGCCCCCGCGCCCCATGATAAATTACCCGACCCGGACTCGACCTGCCACGGGACGGGTATGGGTATCGAGATACCTGCCCGGACCTGCCCATTGTCATTCCTAGCATTGACAACATAGAATTAGAGTTGCTCCTTTTATTAACGATTTCCTTGTAATTTGGTGATGCAACTATACGATTTTCTATTGGCAACAACTTAATACATAGTAGTTTTTTTTCCAAATATAGAGGTAGTATAGTTAAGGGGTTCTTCCTTTATTCTTTTGTGATTTGTCTTGATCTGCAAATCATCGAATAAAAGAATTGGTTCATTCAAACTCCTATTTCAAGCATTCACAACGGAAAGCAAGTAAGCAACAAGAATTTCAAGAAGTGCATATCTAAGGGAGGCAGCATTCTGTATAGCCATGCACACTTAACGAATATTCCATAATATATTGAATAATATTTATAAAATTATTCCAATTAAGAATCGTGCATTAGTGGCTGGTCGACTCCTTATCTCCCGCATTTTAGGATATTATTAACAAATGTTAGTCTCGCATGTGGAAAACTTAAGTGCTCCTTCTTTTTCTTCGATGTTAATTCAGTAATTAATATATTGCATGGATGAAAAAGAGAAGTGCTCGATGTTTTGTCAGAACGTACAGAAAGGAAAAGAGGTGTGGTCAAGCATATCTGGTACAACAAATGAGTTATAATAAAGATGGATTGTTTAAGTCAGATTGTAATAATTTTAGTAGTGTTAAAAGTTAAAACTAGTGATGAAAATTAGGAATGATAATGGATTGTTTTAGTGCGGGTATCACTAAACTAAATCAACGTGTATTGTTCTGTTCTCTAATCAGTGACCTGCTTCGTATCATGCTTCTTGACTAGCCGATGATTTCAATATTCATATCCAAGTTTCGTTTCTTCCTGTTTTGCTATTTTGCAGCTGCCAAAGGCTGTGCTTTAGGCAATTATATTAATTATCATAACATAGGAAATTCCTACAATGCCTTGAAGTAAGGTAACTTGATTTTTTTTATCTGCCATAGTAGGTTTCACAGGTTACATTATGTAAAACACAACAGGTGTTACGTAATAATTACATAACGTATGTATATCTTCCGTAACAGTTGTAAAATCTCATTACAGAAGCCTTACGTAATGGAGGGTTCTTTTAGGTAATGAATATTTATCTCGCGTTACGTAAAGTAATAAGCCATTATGGAAGTCTTACGTAATGCTTCTAATTTAACTGTTACGTAAGAAATAACTGCCATTACGGAAGCCTTACGTAATTGAGGCTTCTTTTACGTAATGAATATTAACCTTCTGTTACGTAAAGTGTTAAGGAATTATGGAAACCTTACGTAACGCTTCTAATTTAACTGTTACGTAAGAAACAACTGTCATCACGGAAGCCTTACATATTGGATGTGTATTTTACGTAATAGTTGTAAAATGTCATTACAGAAGCCTTACGTAATTGAGGCTTCTTTTACGTAATGAATACTAACCTTGCGTTACGTAAAGTGTGAAGGTATTACCGAAGCCTTACGTAATGCTTCTGATTTAACTATTACGTAAGAAACAACTGTCATTACGGAAGCCTTACGTAATGGATGTGTATTTTACGTAACAGTTGTAAAATATCATTACGGAAGCCTTACGTAATTGAGGCTTCTTTTACGTAATGAATACTAACCTTGCGTTACGTAAAGTGTGAAGGTATTACGGAAGCCTTACATAACGCTTCTGATTTAACTGTTACGTAAGAAACAACTGTCATTACGGAAGCCTTACGTAATGGATGTGTATTTTACGTAACAGTTGTAAAATGTCATTACGGAAGCCTTACGTAATTGAGGCTTCTTTTACGTAATGAATACTAACCTTGCATTACGTAAATTGTGAAGGTATTACGGAAGTCTTACGCAACGCTTCTGATTTAACTAGTTACCTACGAAACAACTATCATTACGAAAGTCTTACGTAATGGATGTGTATTTTACGTAACAATTGAAAATATCATTACGAAAACCTTACGTAATTGAGACTTTTTTTACGTAATGAATATTAACATTGTTTTATGGTGTTGAGGCTTCTGAAATTATGTATAAATTAACTAGTATTATAAATGCGTGCAACATAGCGTCAGCTTATGGTTATAGGCTAGCGGATGTATTGTTGTATGATTCTAAATTGGGCATGGTTCAATGATTAGCCGAAGCAGTTTTTACACAAGTTCACGTTGATATAATTTTTTCAAAGATTAGGTACGTACTACCAGCTTTCATATTTCAGAATTCAGATACAATGAGAATGAATGATATGGTATAAATAAATAAAAATAATCAATTTTTTTTTATTTATGTTGAACTTATTATGGTAGAAATTTTCAACTTATAGATCAAATTTTTAGAGCTACTAATAATATTAAATAACATTTTCAATTTGAAACTCTTTTTCTATTTAACTCTACTAGATGGACTTATGCATTTAGATGGGAGAGTGAAAACATATTGTGTAGTTTTCACGATTGTTAATCTAATTGTCACAGTCATTTGAAACTACTTTGTTTATTTATTATGGTGTGAGTTTAACTATTGAATGGTTAGGTTGATGGCTTCCATCTTGATAATGGTGAAAGGTCACTTCAAGGGATATCTCATAATCGTGAAAGTAGAACATGCTAATTGGTTGATCAAAATACATCTTTGAACTTCATGTGTGAGATTGAGCAGTCACAATGTGTTTCTTACAAACGAGCGAGTTGGAATATTTAGTATGATTTAAGCAAGACATAATTTTATGAACAATATCAATCACTATATTTGATCTATTTTCAATATTATGAAATGTATATTCTTAATGAAAATTTTATATGGGATGTAGTATGACACCATTTTTTTCTATTTAGCTTTGTTGCTATGAATTGAAATATGATTTTTTTGTCGTCGATTGGAAGTTACGAGGGTCTCGCTGACCGGTCAGCGAGTCTGGGTTCAAGGATGATGCACCCGGTTTGGGGGCTCGGGGCTCAATGTGGCCTCTGATCCAAGGTTGTATGGCCTAATCGATCTAGAGATACAAATTCATCAATTTAGTCAACCCACCCTATCACAAATAAATTTAGGTGGTCATCATATAGTTCATGTTCTTTAGTGAAAGTTTTCCATGGAATGGTAGTATGATACCCTTGCTTGTTTCTATTTAACTTTGTTGCTATGTCCAGAAATAAAATTTATTGTCGTCGACTGGAAGTTACGATGTTTTTGCTGACCGGGGCGTAATGTGGCCCCTGATCCAACGATGTATGACAAAATAAATTTTGTATTACGAGCTCATAAGTTTGGTTGACCTATCCTGTCACAACTAAATTTAGGTGGTCATACCGTTTAGATATATAAATATAAATATTTGGTGAATTGAAGGAATTGAATTAATATAGTTTTGTGCATTAATTATAGGCTAGTGATCGACCTTACCACATTCGTCATACGAGCAATTTAGTTCGATACAATCCACTTTACCTGCCGTATCTCGTCGATGCCGGCTTGTCTAGTGTTCTGCAACTAGCCCCTCTTACCGGTGATCCAGGTTTGATTACTGCGCTCGTAAAGTTTTGGCGACCCGAGACATCGACATTCCACATGCTGTTCGGTGAGGTGACGATCACCCTAGAGGACGTTGGGACACTCACCGGATTAGCGATCGACGGTGATGCCGTCGTAGTAGACATACCAGACGAGGACTGGTCGGCTATGTGTCTTCGACTGTTAGGATAGGCTCCTGCTGATCTTGGTGGCGGCGTCATCCGGATTACTTGGCTCAGGGAGACTTTTGATGAGCTACCGCTTTCTGCATCACCCCAGACGACAGAGCAGTTTGCAAGAGCGTATGCGCTATCTCTGATGGGAGGTGTCTTGTTCTCCGATCGGTCTGGAGGTTCAGTTCACCTGCAGTACCTACTTTTGGTGGAGGATTGGCGCAGAGCGGGGAGGTTTGCTTGGGGAGCAGCTGTGCTATCCTACTTGTACCGTGAGATGGGTAGATCGGCGCTGCAGATGACGACATCTTCTTCACTGGGTGATGACTTTGGTGGATGGTCCGCCTTGCTGATGATCTGGACGTGGGAGCGGTTTACTCAGGACGCAGTGCCATGTGGCCTTCGGTGGCTTCTGGCCCACACCCGTCAGCATGGAGATCAGTTCTACTTGTACAAGCTGTGGTTTGACGAGTGCACGACATTCGTGGTTAATATATAACATTTCGTTTTGTAGAATAGTTTTAATTGATTTGTTATAGATTTAGGAGTAATTATGTGACCAATCCTTGTGTGCAGTGGCGTCCGTACTTTCATAGAGGTCAGGACTACAGCGGTACTGTGATCCAGTCCGACACGTTTCGAGCAGTAGTTCCGCTGATCTGCTTCTCATTGCAGATGTGGCATCATCCAGATCGCGTGCTCGGACAGTTTGGGATAATTCAGGACCAGCCTCATCCTCCACATTCCGCGGCTGAGATTAGATTTTTTCTTCGTCGGGGACAGCATGGGCCATCACGTGGCCAGCAGTTCATACAGGCAGCCAGCGAGTCGATTGAGTTGTGGAACCGTCGACATGAGTTCATTGCGCAGACGAGCTACTGTGACATACCTTTAACTTACCACTCGGAGCATCAAGAGTGGTATAGAGATGTCACTAGACGTTCAGGCACACGGAGAGTTGCTGCACTGAACGCAGCGGTGAGTTTTTTTAGTAATTAAAATTTGTGTTTTAATTGTTTTTAGATGTGTAGAATTTCTGATATTTTCCATTTAAATTGCAGTACGACTGCATGGAGTCCGTTGAGCAGGGTTTACGTGATGGGATGAGAGCATGAGGGCTATCATATGACCAGATGGCGGAGTATGTTGACCAGTTGGCGGCAAGGGTTACAGCTATAGGTTTTAGTGATCGCCGACATCCTGATACAGAGCCGATCCACCCCGATCCTCACTGAGCTCAGCATGTATCTCAGCACCCAAACAATAAGGATTATGTGCCATAAAATTCCAAAGCACATTTAAACTATCATCATCGACAATAGGCATTGCATAATGAAATAAAACACCATTCTGCCATTCTGGAAGACAGTAGGTGAAACATGTAAGCACAACACTATCTTGTACTGTTTCGTCTCTAATCCGTATTCTCCGAATTAGATGATCACAAAGTTTCTGATAGTTCACCCTGGATGGAATAGTCATCTGGAAACTTACACCACCAACAAAATGGACACCCAAATTGTCTTCTACTTTCTCTGATCGCCACCGAACAGCTAGTTCAAATCTTCTAAAATCACTACATAAAAAACAACTCACTAATTACTAACTGGACAAAATCATTATGATGAATACATGAAAAAAATACGAATCTTACCTGTTATTAGCCATCTTCCCAGCAACCAGACAGCAACACCAGAGCTTCTTTCAGTTTTTTGGTGATGAAGAACCGAAGGAAAGGTGCAGTATATATGGTGATTGGGTGGTGCTGGAGTGGAAAAAAATGGCAGCGACAAAACCCCAGTCTGGGGCGGCGCCACTGTGTTTTCTTTTTAAAAAAGCACCTAGCGGCAGCGCCTGAGTCTAAGGCCTTAGCGCTTTAAACATATCAAAAAACACAATATTCTTGTAAATAGTTTTTAAACCACTATATTCGTTGTAAATTTTAAAAAAACAATATTTAGGGAATTTACCCCTCAATGTATGCGTCACAAGATCTATTCCCCAAGGTAAAGGGTAGCCTTCTCACCCACAATCTATGAGACTACAAATTCAAGGAATTTTCTGGGCATCCTTATCATATTTTCATCAATTTCATGCCATCGATCCCTTTTATCGGTGCCAAATTATCTTTTATTTTCATTTAGTCTATCTAAATCATCACGTGATCCTTCTTCGAGAAATAATAATTTAACATCGACGTGATCACGCGTGATAGAACGAAGTAGAGAGATGAACAACTATGATGTATATCATCATTCCAAAGCAGGTCCAAGCCACCAGCTCTGTCATTGGTACCAACCCCTATTTTCAGGTTTGAACCCCAAAATCTCATTGAAGTTTTTCTCTTTTCACTATTTTGACGTACAACTTTGCCTCGCCAAGATGAACCAGCGGCTGATCCAGAACGAGGTAGAGCACTGAGTCACATTTCAAAAAAGATGGAGAGAACTGGATCATAGCCCGTCGAAAACTTAACGAACACCTAAACTCGAAATTTACAAATGCGATACTAGCTTTGTATCCGAGGGCCCGGGCGGCCCCTAGATCTGAGATGAACCAATCATGGTTGATGCAAAAGGATGATTCCATTTCCACCCACTAAAGGAGGAGGCAAATAGACACTTCCACAGAAGAAAGAGGGTAAAACAAAGCTCTTGGGAAACGACGACTCCGCACTCCTTTTATAATTTGAAGCAATATCATTATCATACACACATTAATATTTATATATATAATTAGTTAGTTACAACATGTTTTATTTATAAAAATTTACACTTGAAAACCCTGAATATATCTGATTGCCACTAGCTAGGTAATTATTAATCATAATCAGTAGGTCATATCACACAACACTACCGCCCATCTCTCCCGCCGCCGCCGCCGATGACGACCCACCACCACCACCACCACTGTCCACAACTTTCACCACCGGCACCTCCTCCGCATGTGCCACGTCATGCTGCTGAATCACAAGCACCGACGAAACGACGCCGTTCCTATCCGACGCCAGCACATCGCCTATCGGCCCCAGCTCGGCATGCTCCGCCTGCCGGTCCGCTATTTCCGCCACCATCGCCGACGGGAACCTACCTTTCCCCACCACCATCAGATCGTAATCTCCGCTCCTCCCCATCGCCACCACCCCTTCCGTCACGTTGCTGCTCGCCACCTTCTCCTTGTACTCCACTGCCTCCTCCCATTTGCTTCGCAGCTCCCCCAACGCCGCCTCGTCTAGTTCCTGCTCCACATTCAATACGGTGTCGTTTTTTTCAAGTTAGCTAACCCATAAAATAATTATTATCCCAATGTCTCTGAAAATTAGAGGTGACAATTCTCAATCCAATCTATCAATTCATTAAAAATATCCACCTAATCTAATTGGATTGGTGGATTCATGGATTCATGGATTAAAATGGCAAATTACGGTTTGGTACCTATACTTTTTATATTTTACATTTTGGTATCCAAAATTTAATTTTTTATACGAAAAATGTCATTAGAAATTACGTTTTGGTACCTAAAAAATTTCATTGTGACATTTTAATACCTAAACTTTTCACATTTTACATATTGGTCCTTGGTAAAGGATGACATTTAGATTCATAGATAATTCACTAATCCACTTGATCCAATCCATGAATCCACCAATCCATTTGATCTATCTCTACTGAAAATGCTTGGTTGAGAAATTTTTACCTCTTCTTTCTGACGGTTCATGACGGCGGTGGAGAAGCTATAGTTCTGCTCGGGTGACTTGGACGGCGAGGGTCGCAGCGTGACGGCCTTGCTGCCGCCGTCCGCCTCTTCTCTCTCCACGAACCTAACGACCGTCACTTTAACGGCCGGATGCTCGGCCATCCTCCCGCCGAGCTCCAGGGCCTCACGGTCGTCAGGCCCACCGAAAAACACAATGCAGACCCGCTGGCTGGGATTGGGCCGGGAAGCCTGGCCCAGCCCGCGATCCACGAGCAGCCCGACCGAGCACGGCGCGTGCTTCAGGACCCGCTGGTTGACCCCGCGCCACCCGTGGCCCACGTTCTCGACCGACTCGTCGCCCCAGTACTGCTTGTGGAAGGGGAGGATGATGACGGCCACGCGCTTGGTCTCCGCCACGTGGCAGATGTCCTCGTGCATGGTGGCCAGGGCCGAGATGGCGGTGGTGGGCCGGACCTTGACCCGGCCCAGCTGGCTGTAGGCCTGGAAGGCCCCCGAGAGCCTGTCGTGCCACCGGCCGCCGCGGCGGCGGTTGAAGAAGGGGAAGCCGTTCTTGCGGGCCCGCTGGACCATGATGATGGAGGAGGAGCGCTCGGTGAGCTCGACGAGGTGCATGACGAAGAGCTTGAGCTGGGAGATCTTGGTGCTGCGGATGGACTCGACAAGGGTGATTAGAGATGGCACGTTCCCCGGCCCGTGGAGGCAGGCCAGCATCCGGAGCTCGTCTTTGGATTCCTTGGTGGCGGTCAGGTCGCCGAGCTTCCGGCGTGGGGTGCCGGAGTGGGAGGAGGAGGCGGCGGAGGAGGAGCCGTGGCGGGCGGGTTTGTAGATGAGCATGACGGTTGGGGTGGTGATGAAGGTGGTGAAGAGTGCCATGAGGACTAGAATGGCAAACGTCTCGTCATTAAGCACCTGCACGTGTTCAACCCAAAGAAGATTATAAACAGAAACAAACAGGGTCAACTTTCTTGATTAGCGGTAATTAATTAAAGGAAATAGGCAGTTTACTAGTTTAGTAAGGTGGATACGCAAAGTGAGACAAGGGAAAGTGGTGGGAGATGGTACGTCGACATGAAGGGAGAGTGGGGTGGTGCTGATCCAGCGGGGGTTATCTCTCCAACTGGATTGGATTATGGTGGGGAGATTAACGTACGTGGTTTATTAATTACTCAAGTATTCTAGGGCTGATGGACCAAGGAAGGCTTAATCTGAAGGAAAGCAAGATGTCTTTTGATACTTTTATAAAAGTTGATCCATGTATCACATCATCACTACTTTGATTCAAGGACAAGTAGTTCCTATGTCACGTATAATTCATAATATGGAGATTATAGCCATTAGCCAATAATTAAGAACTAAGCTGTGGCAGCTTAATATAACTGCGCAATTGGTTTGTGAGATTTTGTGAACTTAAGTGAATTTGTATAACGAATCTACCAAATTACTTGAAAGAATATAATATTATATTCTATAAGATGGTTAGTTACTAAACATATATAAGTTGTCCGAGATGTTATTCATCTCGAGTTTTGTGGTTCAAGCCATCATGCTTGTTCTTCACATTTACTTCGTCAAGCTCGACATTCTTGTCATTCATGTCTTCGCTTGAGGGGGAGTGTTGCGGTTACTTAAACCGTGTTAGTATTGGGCCTTGTTGGGCCTCGTCTGATTCGTTGGATTAAGGTTTTAACCCTAAGTTTATCTATATAAGCTTAGCTATCGACTTGTGTGATAGCAAGCCGTCAAGATGTAATCCTAATAAGAAATCAGTCGTGAGCTCTTATGAGCTTGCCGTGGATTAGTCTCGATCAATCAATCGATCGAGGATACCACGTAAAAATCGTTTGTCTCGTGTTCTTGTTATTCCGCATTATCAAATTCTACAGGAAGTAAAAAAAAAAACAATTGAGTTAGAAAAGATAATAAGAAGCATGCAAATAGGAAAGATTCTACTAAACATAAGTTGGTGACAACGTGTGTTGTTGTTGACGATTATTGACTTGA